GCTCAAACTACCGCACGATTACACTCATCTCACACGCTAGTAAAGAAATGCTCAAAATTCTCCAAGCCAGGCTTCAACAATACATGAACCGTGAACTTCCAGATGTTCAAGCTGGTTTTAGAAAAGGCAGAGGAACCAGAGATCAAATTGCCAACATCCACCTGATCATCAAAAAAGCAAGAGAGTTCCAGAAAAACATCTATTTCTGCTTTATTGACTATGCCAAAGCCTTTGACTGTGTGGATCACAACAAACTGTGGAAAATTCTGAAAGAGATGGGAATACCAGACCACCTGACCTGCCTCTTGAGAAATCTCTATGCGGGTCAGGAAGCAACAGTTAGAACTAGACATGGAACAACAGACTGGTTCCAGATAGGAAAAGGAGTACGTCAAGGCTGTGTATTGTCACCCTGCTTATTTAAATTACATGCAGAGTACATCATGAGAAACACTGGGCTGGATGAAGCACAAACTGGAATCAAGGTTGCCGGGAGAAATATCAATAACCTCAGATATGCAGATGACACCACCCTTATGGCAGAAAGTGAAGAAGAACTAAAGAGCCTCTTGATGAAAGTGAAAGAGGAGAGTGAAAAAGTTGGCTTAAAGTTCAACATTCAGAAAACTAAGGTCATGGCATCCAGTCCCATCACTTCATGGCAAATAGTTGGGGAAACAATGGATACAGTGACAGACTATTTGGGGGTGGGGCCTCCAAAATCACTGCAGATAGTGAATGCAGCCATGAAATTGAAAGACATTTAATCCTTGGAAGGAAAGTTATGACCAACCTAGATAGCATATTAAAAAGCAGAGACATTACTTTGCCAACAAGGGTCAGTTTAGTCAAAGCTATTGTTTTTCCAGTGGTTTGGTATGGATGTGAGAGTTGGACCATAAGGAAAACTGAGCACCAAAGAATTGATGCTTTTGAACTGTGGTGTTGGAGAAGACTCTTGAGAGTCCCAGTCCATCCTAAAGGAGATCAGTCCTGGGTGTTCATTGGAAGGACTGATGTTGAAGCTGAAACTCCAATACTTTGGCCACCTGATGCGAAGAATTGACTCATTCGAAAAGGCCCTGATGTTGGGAAAGATTGAGGGCAGGAGGAGAAGGGGACGACAGAGGATGAGATGGTTGGATGGCACCACTGACTCCATGAACATGAGTTTGGTGTTCAACTCCGGGAGTTGGTGATGGACAGGAAGGCCTGGCGTGCTGCAGTTCGTGGGGTCTCAAAGAGTTGGACAGGACTGAGTGACTAAACTGAACTGAACTGAGTCAGAGATATCATATAAAGGCTCCTATTGAATCTGAGCTAACTCCGGGAGATAGTGAAGGACAGGGCAGCCTGGTGTACTATAGTCCATGAAGTCACAGAGTGGGACACAATCCCATGGACTATAGCCCCCCAGGCTCCTCTGTCCATGGGATTCTCCAGGCAAGAATACTAGAATGGGTGGCCATTCCCTTCTCCATGTGATCTTCCCAACCCAGGGATCGAACCCAGGTCTCCCACATTGCAGGGAGATTCTTTACCATCTGAGCCATGGGGAAGCCCCAACACTCACTCTGGGGCACAGTGGAGGACAGAGGAGCTTGGCATGCTACAGTCCATGAGGTCGCAAAGCCTTAGCCACTGAACAAAAAACATCATTTTGGAAATCAAGCCAGACAGTTTTAAGGTAGCTTCCAGATTTAAACTCTATGACTTAATTCATACTTGGAAGAAATTATCAGCCAAATAGTACAATGGCTAACTGTTGCCTTTGACACCCTCTCACTTCCCTTTTCTGACCCCGTTTATCGGTCTCCAGGAACTTCCATCCCATCCCCATGCTGCTGTCATGACATCCACTGGATTCTCAGCTGGGTCTGCTTCCTAGATATCATGTCCCTGCTGCAAAGTAAGTCCTCTTCTTCCCCATCAAAATGTTCAGGCTCTGACAAACAGCCTCCTGTTGACAAACAGGGAAAATGTAAACCGACACCATGAAGGGCTGGATTTGAGAAACTGAGCCCTATTGGAGGAACTATAAACTCATTTATAACCAGTCTGTATCATACATTCTGAATCATTTTTCATTTATTACCTTCGGTCTTCACTCTTAAATGTGTTTTGGTTAATTTGGTCTCCTTTAGTCAGAGAGTTAGCATCTGCAGGCAGGAGTGTTATGATGTAATCTTCTGAATCCTGCACAACCACCTCCTATTTCAGTAATAGGAGGCTACTGGATTAAAATCAAGGTAAGTTCTATTCATGAGCTAGCTTGTCCACTTGTTCACAATGCCTGCCATCCACACCCCAGGCACTGATACAGCTAGGGAGTATGGTGAAGGGGCTTCCCTGGTGGCTCAGAGGTAGAGAATCCATCTGCCAATGCAGGAGACACAGGTTTGATCCCTGGGCTGGGAAGATCCCCTGGAGAGGAAAACCAACTCCAATATTCTGGCCTGGGAAATCCCATGGACAGAGGAGCCTGGTGGGTCACAGTCTATGGGGTCACAAAAGAGTCAGACACAGCTTAGCAACTAAACAAGAACAATGAAGGGGAGGCGGATAGGGCCCCTGCTACCTGAAAAGAAGTGGGACGGGAAATGCCTACTCGGTGCTGGGCGCTGTGCTTGACATGCTCCATCCTTGTTAACACTTGGTGCTGGGACAACCTCATCAGGCAGGGATGGTTCATTTCCTTTTAGTCGGAAAACAAACAAACAAACAAACAAACTGAAGCCCAGAAAAGATCGCCCAGAGAATGAGAGCCAAAGCTCAAACCCAAGTCCCCCTGGCTCCACGTTGTCCATAAAGAAACAAAATATGATTACTAAGCAAATCGGTTTTCAGTGAGAAGGACACATTATTTTTTTTCCTTTCTGGAGCCCCAGGAATGAAAGGGTCATTTTTTCCAAACCTGTGACTGGGGCCAAAGAATAGAGCAAAAACTGCTTAGGTTAGTCCTGGGGGACGCTAAGATGGAATTCAGCAATCCACGGACAGAGGCGCTTGTGTCTTAGCAGGTGGAGCTACGCGAGCTGCCGCGCGCCGCCCAGCGCCTCAGAAGAGCCTGGGATCAATCCGGTTCTGGCCCCGCTTGCCGAGAGCCGCAGCTCGCCCGCCATCTAGTGGTGAGTCGGAAGCTTCGCTGTAGGGCTCTGAAAAGAAGGATCTGGGGTCAACATGCCTTCGCGATCCTTGAAGACCTCAGATTCAGAGTTCCCTGTAACATGTGGGTCCAGAGCTCACCCCAGAGGCCCCAGAGAAATTCATCTGCTGCTCATTTGCCATCAGACGTGTGTTCCAGAACGCAGTGGCCTCTCTCAACTCTCACCTTCACTTTCAGGCTTTCTGGAAAGCAATCTGCATTCCCTGCTACACTCTCCCTTGTATTTCCGTTCATGTTAGTCACACAGAGAGGGGAAAAAAACAGCCCACCTCAGTTAATCTAGTTCCTCAGCCGCACACACACCCCACCACCACTTATTGGCAGAGCCACCAATCAGAGAGCCTCTCATGGGAACTCTTCCTAAACACAAGATCCAGGTGGGGAGAATCCAGCATCTTGGGGAGGCAAAAGAATGAGGATCACCAAGGAAGAAAAAGTGGGCTTAAAACTCAACATTCAGAACACTAAGATCATGGCATCTGGTCCCATCCCTTCATGGCAAATAGATGGGGAAACAATGGATACAGTGACAGAATATTTTGGGGGAGGGGGGACTCCAAAATCACTGCAGATGGTGAATGCAGCCATGAAATTAAAAGACGCTAGCTCCTTCGAAGAAAAGCTATGACCAAACTAGGCAGCATATTAAGAAACAGAGACATTACTTTGCCAACAAAGGTCCATGTATTCAATGCTTTGGTTTTTCCAGTGGTCATATATGGATGTGAGAGTTGGACTATAAAGAAAGGTGAGTGCCGAAGAATTGACGCTTTTGAATTCTACTGTTGGAGAGGACTCTTGAGAGTCCCTTGGACTGCAAGGAGATCCAACCAGTCCATCCTAAAGGAGATCAGTCCTGAATATTCATTGGAAGGACTGATGCTGAAGCTGAAACTCCAATACTTTGGCCACCTGATGTGAAGAACTGACTCCTTGGAAAAGACCCTGATGCTGGGAAAGATTGAAGGTGGGAGGAGAAGGGGACGACAGAGGATGAGATGGTTGGATGTCATCACTGACTTGATAGGACATGAGTTTGAGCAAGCTCCGGGAGTTGGTGATGGACAGGGAATCCTGGTGTGCTGCAGTCCATGGGGTCAAAAAGAGTCAGACGTGACTGAGAAACTGAACTGAACTGAGGAAGAAAGTGCTGTTCTTGAAAAGGAACCCCCATAAACAGAGCCCTGGGAACAGGGGCATCCTCAACAGACATTCAAGTCACCAGGCTCCCTTCAGAGCCTCCCTTTGGCTCCTCTGCCCCTTCCCCTTGCCTGGTACCCTGCTCCTCAGCCCCAGTCCCCCTTCCAACAGTGTAGGTGGCTGTGCAGAGTCTGGATGTGGACAGGAAGGGAGACTGGCAGTTTCAATGGTCCAGAGATGCAGGCTTAACCTTGGTGTCAGAGGTGATGGAGAGGCATCCCAGAAGATTTTCTCTGAGTATCACTGGCTGATGAAGAGTTCTCCAAGCTCATGCTGACTTTTGTACTTGATTCACCCTGTTTAGTCATTCCTTATATAAGTGAATGAATAATGTTACATGTTCTGTCAATGCATATTGTTCTTTTAAGATTTTTTTGATGTGGACTGTTTTAACGTATTTATTGAATTTGTTACAATGTTGCTTCTGTTGTTTATGTTCTGTTTTTTCGGCCGAGCGGCATGTGGGATCTTAGCTCCTTGATCAGGGATCAAGGGATCAAACTCACATCCCCTGCATTGTAAGGCGAATCCTTTAACCACTGAACCACCAGGAAAGTCCTATATATAGTTTTAATTTTAAAATATATGTCCAGGTTAGATCTTGTGGTTGGCACAATAATCCCTCCCTCCAAAAATGCCTACATCTTTTATCCTCAAAACCTGTGAACATATTACCTTTCCAAACCAAAGAGACTTTACAGATGTGATTAAGGTTAAGTGTCTTGGATTATCCAGGTGGGCCCTATCTAAACACATTAATTCTTTAAAAAACAGAGAACCTTTCCAGGCTATGAGCAGAGAGAGAGAGAGAGATGACAACAGGACAAGGGTCTGGGAGAAATGTGATATTACTGGCTTTGAACATGGAGAAAGGGGTCAATACCCAAACCACGGAATGTGGGCAGCCTCTAGAAGCTGCCTGGCTTGCCTGGTGGCTCTGACAGTAAAGAAACTGTCTGCAATGCAGGAAACCCAAGTTGAATCCCTGGTCAGGAATATCCTCTGGAGAAGGAAATGACAACCCACTGCAGTATTGTTGCCTGGGAAATCCCACAGATAGCAGAACCTGGCAGGCTATAATCCATGGGGGTCCCAAAGAGACAGACGTGACTTTTCTGTCAAACACTTTCACTTTCTGGAAGCTGAGAAAGGCAAGGAAAAGAATTTTCCCTAGAGTCTGCAGACAAGAATGCAGCCTGTGGATTTTAGCCCCGTGAGGACCATGTCAGACTTCTGCAGAACTGTAAGATAATTTGCATGGTTTTAAGCCACTAACTTTGTGGGGACTTGTTAGAGGAGCAATAAAACTCATACAAACTTTTTTAGGTTTTGAGATCTCAAAGTCTCATTCAGCATCAAAGCAAAGACTGCCTTCCTTTGATGTTGGCTGTAAAGATGTTGCTCTGATCAGAGCCATATTTTTTTGGAGTTTTGTTTCAGGACCTAGGGGAAAGGCGCCATTTCTGCCAATAGACTATTTTGTTACTCAGAAACCATAAGATCTACTCTATCACACCAAGTGAGCTTCTGATGAATGTTGTTAGACTCTTCAAGGAGTTCTGAATTAAGGGGCTCTTGGGGATGGTTTCTGTGGCCCTCATCATTGACTAGGACACACTCTAGAAATAGAAATATGAATATATACCATACAGAAGGCAGAAATGGATTGTCTCTACCGGGAAGCACTGTCTCCTTAAGAATATTCACTGGGACTTCCCTGGTGGTCCAATGGTTAAGAATTCTCTAGTCAATGCAGGGGACATGGGTTCTATCCCTGGTCTGAGAAGATTCCACATGCCTTGGGGCAGCTAAGCCTGTGAGCCACGAATACTGAGCCTGTGTACTCTAGAGCCCTGATCCACAAGAGAAGCCACCACAGTGAGGAGCTGGGGCACTGCAACTAGAGAAAGCCCATGCCCAGCAACAAAGACCCAGTGCTGCCAAAAATAAATATTTAAAAAAGAAATACTCACTGAATCATGAAGTTGCCCAAACCTCTTTAATACAATCATTCTATTGGAATCTTTTACTTGAAGCTAATTCCCAAGAAGCTAAATAAAATGTACATGAAATTTTTTACAAAAAAAAGTAGAACAGTAAAAATGACAAGAGTCGAAATTATTCCACGCCATTAGGCAAATCATTAAAAATTACAACTACTCTTGCTATGACAAATAGGGAGATAGTCTTATCGTGTGAAATGAAAGAAGTATATGATAGAATGGTGTTCATTCAATGATCCTTTATTGACCACATGCTATATGCTAGGGATTGTACCAAGAACCAAGTTATTAAGGGGAGCCAAAGTAGATATGGGTTTCCCAGGTAGCACAGTGGTCAAGAATTGGCCTGCTGATGCAGGAGACGAAAGAAAAGTGGGTTTGGCCCTGGGTCAGGAAGAGCCTCTGGGGGAGGAAATGCTTACCCGCTCCAGTGTTCTTGCTTGGAGAGAATTCCACGGACAGAGGAATCTGGCGGGCTACAGCCCATGGGGTCGCAAAGAGTAGGACGTGACTAAGCACGCACGCACATGGCACAAAGCCGATAATACTGCCCCTATGTACTGAGGTGTGCCATGATTACAAAAATGCAAAATGGTCTGTACGTATGGAAGGAGATATACCCAAAACAAAACAAGGGTGGAGTGAAGTGAAAGTCCTTCAGTTGTGACCGACTCTGCGACCCCATGGACTATACAGTCCACAGAATTCTCCAGGCCATATTACTAGAGTGGGTAGCCTTTCCCTTCTCCAGGGGATATTCCCAACCCAGGGATCGAACCCAGATCTCCCGCATTGCAAGTGGATTCTTTACCAACTGAGCCACCCCCAAGAATCCTGGGGTGGGTAGCCTATCCTTTCTCCAGGGGATCTTCCCAACCCAGGAATCAAACTGGGGTCTCCTGCATTGCAGGCGGATTCTTTACCTACTGAGCTGTGAGGGAAGCAAAGCAATGGTAAGGCATGGTAAATATTCTCCTTAACCTCCTTAAATTATCTTTTCAGGTATAATCATTATATTAAGGGATAGAGCAGGAAGAAGCATACACCTCTGGACCAAAGTCCTGATGCAGGGTAGGAACTGCAGCAGGCTCCTGACCAGGGAAGCAGAGTCAGAGTATGCTGTTTAGAAACATAACAAGCAAAAAAAAAAAAAAAGAAACATAACAAGCAACAGCCTGGCAGGTCAGAGGGCCATGGTCTTCCCCAGCAGGAATCCAGCTGTACACACAAGTCCTTTCCAGTGAGGTCGGTTCCAGGGGGTCACCATTGTGCCTACCTGACCCCCTCTGTGTATCTGGGAGTTTTACTGCATTGGGCTGTATCCTGAGGGTTGGCAACACCTGTCGCTCTCTGTCTCCCAGACTGACAGGTTAACTGGGCCAGCAGATGCTATATCCATTACTCACGGTTTTTATGCTGCTGTCTGTCAGGTAAGCCACCTCCCCTGGGTCTGCCGTGGTTTCCCTGTGTGAACAAGGAAAGCTGTGTGCGTGTGCTAAGTCGCTGCAGTTGTGTCCAACTCTGTGCAATTCGATAGACTGTAGCCCGCCAGGCTCCTCTGTCTATGGGATTCTCCACGCAAGAACACTGGAATGGGTTGCCATGCCCTCCTCCTGGGGATCTTGTCAACCTAGGGATCGAACCTGCATCTCTTATGTCTCTTGCATTGGCACAGGGGTTCTTTACCACTAGCTCCACCCAAGGAAAGTCAGGGCTTGTTAATTTCTAAAGTGCCTCCTAAAGACTGCAGACATAGGAGCGGTGCTGGGCTCTAGTCTTAGTGAGCTGAGTCCTAAGAAGGCACAGTCCCTGACCACTAGCTTCCTATCTGAAGACACTTTTGTGATGGTATCAATATGAAGAAAATTACAACCACCCAACAACTACACAGCACATGACAGAAGTGAAGGAGAGACTCAGGAGCAATGAGTATTGATTGTCCAACATGTATGCATAGGGTAGGGTGTGGTTGGGAAAGACAATTATAGAGATCTCATCTCTTTCTCTATTTACCTTCTCCTACCAAACTAGAAGTTGCTTTAAAAAGAATTACCAGGGACTTCCCTGATGGGTCCAGTGGTTAAGAATGGAGATCAGCTATAAGTTACCTCAGTGTCCCTCTAGTTTGCTTCAAAATATCTCTTCCTTTTCACTCACCCTACCCTCTTTCCCTCCTATTTCAAAAGGAGTTTTCAAAACCACCATGAGATTCGCCTTCACATCCATCAAGATGGCTATTTTTTTAAAAATCACAAGTGTTGGTGAAGATTTGGAGACAATGAACCTTTGTGCACTGTTGATGGGAATGTAAAACGGTGCCAACCTTACAAAAACCAGTGTGATGGCTCCTCAAATCAATTAAAAATAGAACTACTGTACAATCCAACAATCCAGCTTCTGAGTATACACCCAAAAGAACTGAAAGCAGAGTTTCAAAGAGATATTTGTACACTGCTCTCCATTGCAGTAGCTAAACTGTGGAAGCAACCCAAGTATCCATCCATCACCAGATGAATGCATAAATAAAATGTGGTATGTGCAAACAATGGAATATTGTTCAACCTTAAAAAGGAAAGAAATTCTGACACATACTACAATATGGATGAAACTTGAGGACATGCTAAGTGAAATAAGCTGGTCACAAAAGATAAAATACTACATGATTCCACTTATCGGAGGTTTTTAGAGTGGCCACATTCATAGAGACAGGAAGTACAAGAGTGGTTGCCAGAAGCAGGGGAGAAGGGAAATGAGAGTTGTTTAATAGGTTGAGTTTCAGTTTTGAGCTTTTTCAGAAGGAAAATTCTGGAGACTGATTACACAACAATAGGAAGATATTTAATACTATTGAACTATACACTTAAAAATGGTAAAATTGAAGGACTTCTCTGTGGTCCAATGGCTAAGACTCCATGCTCCCAACACAGGGGATCAGGGTTTGATCCCTGGTCAAGGAACTAGATCCCACATGCTGCAACTAAAGGGTCCTGCATGCTGCAACTAAGACCCACTGCCACCAAATAAAGAAAGAGGTATTTTTAAAATAAAATGTTTTTCATCACTAAGGCATATCTGACTCCATAGACTGTAAAAATAAAATAAATAAAATGGTCAAGTTGGTAAATTTTGTATTGTGTTTATTTTGCCACAATAAAAAAATGTCTTTGCTGCCCCTCCTCACATTAACTTTTCTTTTCGCACCTGTGATCCTATCTTGTGTCGCCCTTTCTGTTGGACTGGATCTTCTCTTCACTCCCCTTAAGAACTGCCACAAACATCTGTAAGACTGGGGGTAAGACTATGTGCATTGTTTAGACCTGTTCAAGATTATAAATCCAGATAACATATGAGTGAAAAGAATGCGTTCTAACTTGGAAATTTATCTTTGTGACAACAAAATGGCAAAGGGTATGAAGCTACAGTTTCTAGAATCCTGAAGGTTGGTAAACTGTCAAGGCGTGGCTCTTTCCTTAAACCACACTCTCCCAGACTTCCCTGGTGGCACAGTGGATAAGAATCTGCCTGCCAATGCAGGAGACACGAGTTCAGTCTCTGGTCTGGGAAGATTCCACTTGCCACTGAGCAATGAAGCTCATGTGCCACAACGACTGAGTCTGAGTACCTAGAGCCTGTGCTCCTCATCAGGAGAAGCATCCACAATCAAGAGAAGCCTGCGCACCCCCAAGTAGAGAAAGCCAGTGTGCAGCAAAGAAAACCGAGTGCAACCAAAAATAAATTTTAAAAAACCATCACAGTCCCCACTCCAGCAGCCTGTTTCTGCACAGCAGAGAGGCCCAGACCAGTCCACACCCTTAACAGCGGCTTCCACAGATCCCGGCCAGCCTGCCCCCTCTGCCAAATTTCTTTGCCGCCAGCAGGCTACTCAAGCCTGCCGTCACCAGAGAACTACACAATTACACCGTCAGCCATGGGACCTAACACTCAGGCAAGCCCTGCATTGACTGATGTCACGTTCTGCTGCCACTATCTTGAAATGCTTAATAACTGTGGAACA